GAACTTTAAAAGTTAAGTCAGAACAAAAACATCATTAAATCTGTGCAACAAGGCCGATTTGTATTATAACAAAAGCCATGCAAGTGTTTAATAACAGTGGGTTACAAGGAGTTACTTTAAAGAAGCTAGAATTTCCACTCTTGAAAGAAACTTTACAATAAAGGAGCAAGCAGATCATCGACAAATCATGTTTCATTGTTAAAGTCATGCTATGTTTGGCGCTTCGACCTTTTTTTTCGCCGGAGACGAATTGTCGGTGAAAACATAAGCTTACATGATCTCACGCTACGTACGTACAGCTTGATAAATTTTAATTGTTTACCACTCTTAAATAAAAATAGATATATATCTAGGTTCGGCTTTTATTTCAATTTAAGTTGATCTAGAGTTATATGTATCAACATTATTCTCACACAAGATCTTTTAATTAGCCGGTATTTCAGCTTACCTCTTGGAAGCAAAACGGCATCGCTAAAACGCTCACTCCTATAATGCAGTTGACAAGGTTGAATACTACAGGCCTGGTACTCATGTTAAAGTGTTCGGTTCAAAGTAAAATAAAACAAAATTAGTGCAAAAGAGACGTTATAAGGTAGCTAGCATTCATTTCTAGTGACGTCGGGAAACCACGCACGCAATGCGGCCAGGCTGCTATGCTTGGTATTTGTTTTCTCCAGGGTGCGCAGCGTAGGAATTGTAACAACCAAAACGAGGCTGCATGACTTTTTCCCAAAATACTCTGCAGTCGTTTGCTCTCTTCGTTCCTCAATATGGTGAGTCCATACTAACATTTTCAATCCCCCAAAAATATCCTATTGAATCTTCAACATCGTGGTAGATGAAGAACGTATTTTCAGTCAGATTCGTAGCATAACCGTTCTGGTTGTTATTTATCTACTCTTAGGGGATAGACATCAAACGGAAGCACGTGAAAAAGAACGTGAGGCGAGAGCCTGCCTCCAAAAATGTCTACCTGAAGCTGCTTGTTAAGGTTAGTGGTTTTCTCGGTAGTTCCTTTATAACTTATCATAACTTATGGGCGAACAGATCATGTTATAGAGAATCATTGAAACGGATGTGTTTTTCATTTATTTGCAGCTCTATCGCTTTTTGGCTCGCCGTACAAATGCAACGTTCAACAAAGTTGTTTTAAAACGACTTTGTATGAGTCGTGTGAACCGGCCACCTCTGGCGCTCTCTCGATTGGTAGGTCTTCATTCTATTACTTGATCTTATTGTTGTATAAGTTCATATGTCAATCTAATGTTCGTTGTGTTTGTTACGCTTTTAAGGTACGAAAGATGAAAGCTAAAGGTGACATCTCAAACAAGATATTTGTTGTTGTTGGGACGATCACTAATGACCTGAGGTTGTACGAGGTTCCTGCCCTTAAGGTCTGTTTCCAAATCAGTACTTAGCCTTTTGGTTCTTCATAAATCCCTTGTCAATTATTCTTTTTCACAGACAGTGTGTGAGAGTGAAAACCAGATGTCTAGCCTGTTTGAACTCAACTGCAAGCTATAATTAGTTTTTTTCTTGACCTCGGTTGTTATGATTGTCTTGAAACTGCTGTCTGCTTCTCTTGAGGCTTGTGTAAAGCATTTTTATACTTTGCCTAGCTTAATAAGCGTCTGTTTATATCTTCCTGAGGGTCCATATTCTTTTTTTCTCAGAGTTGTCTGCCAGGCAAGAATGCCTGATGGCATACTTGCCTGTTAACATTATTTGGGTTACCCAGATGAAAGGGCAGAATTATAAAGCTTAAAAGAAAGTTATTGTTACTAAGAAAGGGTTTTAACTAAACTGCCAAGTACAACAGGCTACAGGCCTAGGCTAAACACAGTTTACATGTATTTAATGATAAATAATAATAATAATGAACTTTGTTAAAGTCTCATGTCTTATAGCTCAGGATCAGTGCCTTACTAATTTACAAGTAGCCATGGTCAGCCAGTTTGCCATTAAGGCAAGTTGGTGTTGGTTGCATTTTCCCCGGTGTAAGGCAGTGGCTCCTACACATGTCACCTTTTTGTGAAATGCGACAAAGCACCTTCTAAAAAACGCCAGCTCTTGATGATTGCTGTCACGTTTTCTACGAATGGATTTACTGAATGCAGTACTTCACATAAAACTGAGCCCGCAATCGTTTCGTAGAAAATGCTGCACCATCAAAGATGGCGCCCAAACTGATCATTTCATTGCAGACAAAAGCTGCTTGTTATTCACCATTATTCTAAACATTTTGAGTGGATCAAAGATGTAATCAGAACACAGGGAAAATGTATAAAATGATATAAGAATTTTTGAAAAGATTTTTTGGTTGAGCAAAACCTCACTCTTCCAAAGGGCGACTCTCATAGTGATCTTAATTATTTGTACGAGATTGTCGTCGTCTGGGGCGACCAGACAACTGGGAATATGGGTCCCTGCTACCTTTATTCTGTAGTTGTTTATTCTTAATTTGATTCATAAAATATCCCTGCAAGGTGTTGGATTTGCTAGTCCTGAATACCCTCTCATTTGGTGGATGTTATTTCTTTTCGATATTCAAGGTCTGTGCTCTTCATGTGACTGATGGTGCACGTGCCAGAATTTTGAAGGCTGGTGGGGAAATCATCACATTTGACCAGCTTGCTCTTAGAGCACCAAAGGGAAGCAACACTGTGTTGCTTCAAGGTAAGCTGCTACTGTCCCTGGACTCTCGTGAATGTTACAGATTTTTTGCTGACATTTTAGCTGGAGGTTAGATTGTAGGGTCCTTGTAAGGTGGTTTGTGTGCTCTGTTTGTGAACAGTATGCTCAACACTTTGGTATTTACAGAGCTGTCACTAAGGTCCGAAGGCTGGGGATTGCTCCAGGCGACTATGGGCATGATCCCAACTACATTTATGAAGCAAAAGGAAAATAGAACCAAAAGAACTTCCTAGCTGTTCAATCCCCTCCCTAGTACTGCTTGTAGGTCTTTTTGTATGATATCATTTGTTTGTCAGTATCATTAAAGAAATCAAATCTGCAATGTTTTCTTCAATTTTGAGACTTACATTTAGTACTGAAAGGTGTTATGCAGTAGTTTGTTAGCATTCTGTTCTGCTAGCTTAACAAAAACTTTTGCAAATGATGATAACACACGACGGTCTTCTAATGCTAATAGCACTTGATGAACTCGTAGTGGTATTCTGATGCAGAGTATCTCTGGTTTGACAGTTGCTTTTTTGTAAAGGAGTAGGTCATAGTATTTAATTTTAACTTTAAGCAGCCTACAGTGTGGAATGTGTAGTCATTAGTTGCTGTTTTGTAATTTAGGTCCAAGGAATGCACGTGAAAGCGTGAAACACTTTGGCCCTGCCCCAGGTGTTCCTCACAGCAAGACTAAGTAAGTTTTGTCTAATAATAATAATGTTTTAAAGTTAGCTTTTTTGTCTATATTTGTTACAAATTTTCCACGTTACTGATTAAAGTGAAACAAAGTTAAATATTCTACTCTCAAAGAATAATTATAGGTGACTAAGTTATTGCAGGGCCATCACTTAAGGCCAGGGCTTGCAGGAGAATTTCATAGGAAACAAAAGGAAAACAGAACCTAAAGAACTTACCGTGTACTAGCTGTTCAATTTCTCCTCTACTCATTGCATATATCCAACAACTTGAAATGTTAGTGACAGCCATGGTATAGGTACAGTAGACAATTGACACTAAACAGATTGGAATTTAAACAAGAATAGTTACCGTGGGTATTTTGAACAAGACAGTGTCCCCTTCATTTGAAATCCTGTTGCAGCTTTAAAGAAGACAAGCATGTTCTTTTTGGACTCTTGTTCTCTTAAGTTACGGAAGTCGTCGGTGTAGTCTTACATTTCTCAACCTAGTTTGTTCTCTGTTTTCTCTTTCACAGGCCTTATGTTCGTTCCAAGGGACGCAAATTTGAGAGAGCTCGTGGTCGCAGAAAGAGCCGTGGCTTCAAGGTGTAAAAAGAACTTTCAAACAAAACAAACGATTAAAAGTTATTGTTCAAATCACAATTTTGCTTGTTTGTGTCTTTGTTAATGAATAAGGTCTGGCATTGCCTGCATCGGAGATATAGAGCGCTTTCCATTCAACCAAAACTTTTGAATGTTTGGAAAAAGCGGCAAATGGTATAGTGGGGCGGATATATGCAGAATTTGTGTCGAATTGTGCGCTTTTGGGTTAAAAGAATCACATTTGGTAAAAATGTTGCCTTTTCTACACTGATTATTCTCTGATATGGAGCCATCGCGGATTTTGGTGCTGACGCGAGTTATGGGGACCGGAAGTGAAATGATGAATCCCCGGAAGTTGAATTTCTTTGCTTTCCGGTAACTCTTAAGTTGAAAAGTCTGTTCATTTTTTCTTAGTTAAAAAGATTAATAAGGCTGTATTATTGCAATACTGCAGATTGCATTTATGGAAATAGAGAATTTTAGCGTTTGGCTTTACCTTATCTAAACCGGAAGTGCTACACACTTTTGCCGGAATTGCCAAAAAAATTGAAAATAGACATAGCTATTGTTTAAGAACCGTAATTTCTGTGTCAAGGTTACTAAATTTATTGTCCGCAGCTAAAGAGTAATCATACAATCACAACGTTGAGCTCCTTTCACAACGCAGAGGGCCGTTCCGGAGTGATGGTTCTTGCTTCTTTTCAAATTGAATTCTGTTAAGTTTACTACTTAACATAACCCAAAACTTGAAATAACCGATGCTGGGGATGCCCAATGTGAAATCAGCCGCGGAGGCCTGAGTTAAATCACATTAATTATGCACCTTGGCTTCCCGTTCATCTTCGTGATATGAGTGCACTTCAGCAGACAGCCCCAGGTGTCTTCATTCAGTTTGAAAATGAGTTGTTCACAGTCCACAAGTCGCCAAGGCGGTATTCTGCTATTGCTATCGATCAGGCGCACGAACAGAACAATGGGATGGTCAAAGGAGATGGTGTGACTGTGGTCCTCACAAAGAACACTAGTGCTCTCCGTCGATGGATGACATCAGGGCCGGAAATGGCAAGACTTGTGAGCGAGTTTGAAGCTTCTATGACAACAGAAGCCGAAGTTCAAGGAGCGGATCCGGCCATGAAGTACAAAGAAGCTTTCAAGTGTCATTTTTCAAAGACGTGAAATCGCTTGTCACAACGATGAAAGATTTTGGTTACCCTTTCCTGGAAGAAAGTAACGACCTTATCGTTCTGGACACTAAGGAAATTGCTGAGCCAGCTGCAGTTACAATTCTACCTCAGATAGAGGCCGTTGGTAAGGAGCAGTGTAACCAATTCATAACTGAACGTCTTTTAAATCGAACAAAGTCACTGTATGATCCTATCAAGAGAAACAAAGTCAGTTTTTTCATTGAAAATTTTTCTGCACCAGAAGAATCATGTAAGACTTCACAGCAGTTGTCATTCATGAAGAGTGATTGTGCACTTTTTGCAAGGCTCGGCATATCCTGTCAAACAAGGGACGGTGATTTAGACGAGTTTTTCAAACATGAGAACCAAGGGTGCCCACCATCCTTATCGTACGTTGGAAAACTTTGTCTTCCCAAGAAGAAATGCGAGCCAACAGAATGCCTAGAGGCTAATACCACGCGGCGAACGGAGATGCCAAGTGCTGTTGATGCCACTATCATTGATGGTGCTGCAGTGGTCATCAAGCCACGGACGAAAACCTTTTTCAGGTATGCCGAGCAATCATTCTTGCCATATGAAAAATCACAGCTCCGTCATGTTAAGCATGTAGACATTGTGTGGGATGAATATGTCGAGAACAGTTTAAAAGCCATTACGAGATCTGAACGTGGAACCGGTGTTCGAAGGCGTGATACAGCCAATAATCAGCTTCCACGTAATTGGAAAGAATTTCTACGTGTTGACGAAAACAGGCGCGAACTCCATCTTGTAGAATCAATGCTGGCCAACGCGCTTTTTGTTACCGTGGTGTGAAAATATGGAATAATTTAAGTAAAGACTTAAGGGAAATCATAAATACTAAAGTTTTTAAGAGACGTTTACTTAATGAACTGATTTGTAACATGAACTAGGCTAGATGTTAAAATTTGTACAAAGTTAAGTACTATTTAGTTATTGTTGTACATAGTTTTTTAAGTTATTTAATTAAATAATTAATTTATTCACCCATTTGATTTATTTAACTTAATTTTAATATTGATAGTGAAAAGCCCTTTTTAGGAATGCTCAATAAAGTGTATGTATATGTATGTATGTATGTAGAGGGAAGGTACTTTGCCGGTGAAAGATGATTTCTAGAGGGTAACAATGTAACTTGTTGTACAATTACTCCGTAGTCAGGCAAAAGTCAGGAAAATACCTTTGTTTATTGATTATAAATGTAAAACTAAAAAATGTAGGGTTGATTAGGATCAAACACGAAGGAAAAATATCATGGCTTTCTTTAAACTGTTTACATTTTTGTCGTGTATTTTAGTAACATAAACTCCTACCCCCTCCATTTTTAAACAGCAAAATAATAACCTTTTCACCAAAAAAACAATAGTTATAATGCTTTTGTATCTCCCAAATCGGTCTATATTGAAATTAATCGATTCAGAGAATGAAAATACGCTTTTTAAAAACTACTTCCGGATTGAAATGTTCACTTCCGGTTTCAATTGATGGCTATTTTGGATACCGGAAATATCTCGATAACCCATAATATTTCGCGATGGCTCCATATCCACATTTGTTAGGCACATGATCATGAAGTTATACACTTCTGCCAAGTTTCATGCTTTTAACCAAAAGTCGCACAATCCATGCACATATCCGCCCCACTAGTACAGAAATTTCCCGCAAAAGATTCCTGGAAACTGTTGAATTTCCAAAATGCAAACCATTGAGCTAAAAAATTCTAGAAATTTGGGAGAAAAGTTGAATGGAAAGAAAGCTGCTACCAGAAACGTGTTGCGAATTTCCCTTCAACCTGATTGGCAAATTGACGATATAGTTTTTTAACAGGCCAATCATGGCACATACTCAAATCCTAGTACACAGCTGGAGGCCCAGAACAAGGATTTCTGCGCTGTTTTGCAGACGGACATAACCGGAGTTTAGTTTGTCTGTGGCACATGCT